CACACACACACACACACACACACACACACACACACACACACACACACCTATCTATTTGGGACATTAGTCACCTGGGGCTTTGGTAAACAGGGAATGAAGGTTAACAAAAGAGGAATAGAATAAACAGGCAGAGGCAATCCAACATGATGCACTGTGCATGTGGAAAATTGGTGGGAAGAGCTTTTGGATTGAGGGCCCATTTTACCCTCACTTTGTTAGTAATTGACCTCTGAAACATAATGTGCAGTGCAGACAGAGGTAATTAGCATGCAACAAACTGTTGCTTGATTGCCTGAAATGAGCATTTTAGAGCAAGCCACAAATGTAGAATGCAAAGTGTTTTCTATTGTGTGTGTGTAAGTAGAGGGAACTGGATTCGAGGTGTGTGTACAGAAATGAGAATTGAGCGCCGCATGTGCCCCCCCCCCCCGCATCAACAAAAGATGCATTAATGTAACTATGAATAGAGCCACCTCAGACCTTTTCATTTGGTCTTCCAACTGGAGGAAATCTTGTTCTGTCCACCTGCTGGCTCCGGGGGTGAGAGGACAGAACAAGATTTCTTGTCGCAATTCAACACCACTATCATCAGTATGAATATCTTGGAGTTTCCCCTCATGAGCTGTTAGGAAGGGTTGTAACCCAGCTGCATAACTATGAGGTGAGGGGTTTAATCAACAGCCAGGTTTGTGGCTTAGGGGTCAACTGTCACCTCAAAATCAGGCTTTATGTTAATCATGCAAAACCTCTTTTTTTCATAAAAAAGGGTCCGCCCACTTGTACCTAGCACATTACATTTCAGTCCGCAAGATTAACTGGTGTTGATATGTTTTCTTTCACCTATGCAAAATAATTAGGTACAAAGCTGCATTTGTGTGCACCACTATACACAAAAAACGCTGTTGACTATTGCAGTCCAGACAGTAGACCTATTAGCTGGATTACTGCTATTGTGCTACGGTCATGCCTTTGTGTGACCAGTGACCAGAGGATGACAACCGGGACAATAGCCCTGACCTTAGTACTGACGGAGGCAGAATCCCTACACGGGAACTGTCATATTTCTCTACGCTTAGTTGAATTTTAAAGGATTTACAGGAGACCCCTGTTTATAAAAACAAAGCTGTTATGGTACATTTTATGATTTGAATAAAAGGTTGTCTCATGAAAATGCCCAAGCTGTATGCTAGAATATTTTAAAATACAAATGTACAATACTTACCGTATGTCAAAAATAAATGAATAAATAAACACAAACCATTAGTTTTTTTTCTTATTGCACATCATCATATTAGAGGATACCAGCCTGTACTGATGGCTACTGGAATCATGTAAGCAAATTGAAAAATGAGTGCATGAAAAAACAGAAAATATACATGTATGACGGATTTGGGAAAAGTATATGTTTTTTCCTTTTTACGGGTGGGGGGGTGGGGGTTGCGGGTGAAGGCAGAGAGGAAGGAGGAGGGGGAGAGTAAGAGCCACTTTCTTATGTTAAGCAGGCGTGCGGCTGTCCTCTATTGTGTGGCGTGAGGACTCTTTTCTCCGGCCAATTTGAGCATGCTTCAGTGGCCAGCCTGGCTCTGGCCCCCCCGACGCATTATACAGAGCCACAACAAAAGCTGGAGAATGTTGCCTCTTCCCTCAATGTGCCCCCCTCATTGCTCTACTCTACACTATGTTCCCCAGGCTCCCCTCCCGCTCCTTCACACACTTGCGCACACACACAGGCAGGCAGGCAGGCAGGCAGGCAGGCAGGCCAGCCTACTCTGGGCCCCTGGCCGACATGTCAGTCTAACGGAGCGCGACAGACGTCAATCCTTAATTAATCACGTATACGCGGCAGGGGCTCAAAACATTATTTAACGACATGGAAAAACATTCTAATAAGCTTGTCGCACTGCCAAGGCGCAATAGAAACCCAGCCAGGGGGGCATACATCCACACATCCACACACACTTTCATCCCCGTCCTTTGTTTTTGGGGACTCCATTCATCTCAACTCGGCTTCGGCTGGAAGGAATGGAGCCGGGACAGATTTAAATACAAGGAAGGGTGTGGCTAACGGAGGTGGAAGATGCCAAAACACAGAGGTCGTCTTCATCACCACTGGTTGGCACGCTGTTTTCAAAATCACCAGCTGAAACGAAGCCTCAACGATCTTGAATTGCAGTGCACCTATATGACCCCTGTCCTCACTAAGTTACAGTTGACCCCAAATAAAAGAATTTGCACCGGACATATATTAACATCAACAACTAACAGGAATCACTGAGTCACATCAAGCAAGAAAAAAAAGACGGCAAATTGGCATCTACAAACCATATTTCTTAGTATTGAAACAGGGCCGATGCGTGTACCTCACATGAGTTAGACTGGTGCGCCATCTAATGGTGAATAAAAACACAACTGGCAGCCGTACATTCGGTGCCACCTGCTGGCTGTACCTGGTCGTTGCTGGTGATGCCCTTGTGCATGATGTGGTAGAGGTGCACCAAGAAATCACTGTTGGGGAGCACGTCCTGGTGCCTGGTCATCATCTCACAGATCAGCTTGTAGGCCTGCAGCTTGCCAGCCTTGTACTCAGCAGGCAACATGGTGGCCTGTAGAGAGGGGGGGGGCACTGGGGTCACTATCATTATGAAGAGGTGAAGACTTGGACATGTTTAACATCTATTATACCCGTCACCACTGGAATCACTTTGACTTTTTTGTGCAACATTCCTATTTTTATGATTTTGCTGAAACAGTACGATTAGATTCAGCACATTTTTTTTATTGTGTGTTGTGTTACAGTGTCTGTCGCTGCTAAAGTTCAGTCTAAGTTCAGACATTCAGTCTATTTTTATTACTTGTTGCTACTGCTGCAATTGCAATCAAATGGCTTCCTGAGCATTAGGGGATTCCTCCAGGGAAACACCTACCTTTATACACTTGCAACAAGTGAAATAACCGTAGCGTTCAATGAAAATGCTTCCGGTTATTATTTATAGGACCTGACAGTCTGGATCCGGCTATATTAATGTTGTTGATGTTGAAATTATTTTGTATTCTGCATGCTGTATACCTACTAAACTATAACACACTTTTAAATCCAACCCTCAGTTTCCTGGTTGTTTTTTGTCCACTTTTCTGGATGTTGTGTGCTGTGCCTATGTGTTGTTCATACCCTAAAGAGCCAGGAAGCCAGCATTCGAAGAGGCGGGATGAAGGCGGGCTGGGGAGGAGAAGACAGGTTGTCCACACTGATCCCGAGATTGTCCCGGATCTGTAAGCACACGTTCACTTTTGGTCAATAAGCGTAACAATCGTGAATAATCGTGTGGTAAAATAAGGTTTATATGAATATATAAAAAGCCATATCCATTTACTTAAAATACTGTTAACTAAAATAAACAGGCCCGAGTCCATAAACACAAGTAAATCCTCAAAACACCCCCAATCTGCAAAAAGCCCTTTAATCAGTCATTTTATAGTCATAGCGCACTTACATTTCATGCCAACTATCTCTTTGCAAGAGCGGGAATACATTCTTCTCATTTGAGATGATGTCTTTGGCCTCGCCACCTTACCTTGGCCAGCTTGTGCCAGAGCTCATAAAGACAGGAGAAGACCTTGGCATGGATTTTTGGACAGCAGATACTGTTGACATCTCCCAGGATACCCAAAATCCTCCTCCACAGGACGAAGGCCGAATCAGCATGCCAACCAGTCAAGGTCCCGCCCGCAATTATGCTGACATCATCAGCCAGACACTCACTACTGTCTGCATGGTCAAAGAGAGAGAGAGAGAGAGAGAGGGAGTTTGGGTTAGAGAATCAATTATTTGCTCACACCTTTTAATGTAGCTGCCGGTACCTAATACAAAATGAATCAAATTTAATTTCATAAAGAGTATGGGATTCAGTCAACAAATGCAGAACACCTTTTATAAAAGAAAATGTAGAGACTTGAAAGACAAATAAAGCGATTCCGTCATTGTTTGTTTGAGCAGTTGTTTACCAAATCCCTCTGTGCATTTTTCCCAAATGCATCCAAGCACTCAGTTCTTTGCCAACGGAAACTGATCAAAGCACGGAAACACTTTTGGGAAACCGGCACCAGTCACATGCACCATCCAAATGAACAGGCTGAATTTTGGGAGGACAGTGCCACCTAGTGGGCATCAGAAGAACGATGCGGAGTGAAGGGGAGTACAGGCCAGGAAAAGACACCAAAAATGAATAGTGGGGTTAAAAGATCTGAGGTGATTAATAAATGAAAGAATGTTCTGCTCTTTGAGCAAGGAGGACCAAAACAAATGTATGCATTTAATCAAGTAATTGAGCGGGAACAAACAAAAGAAAAACATGGATAGTGTAATGCAACAAAAGAAGTCAAGGTAAGGTGGATAAATGTAGAGCATGGAGGGTCGGTGAGGACTCTTTGGTCTATATGATGAGTAGCAGCTAGGGAGCAGTACCCAAGTGGTGTGGCATGTGTAAGACAGACTGATGCATGGTTTCGTCCAGGGGGCAGTCCCGCGGGCACTCTGTGTGCACCAGCAGGGCTGGTGAGGCGGGCGGGTTCTGGGGGTAGTGGTAGTGGTTGTGGTGGTGGTGGTAGGACGGGGGTGCAGAGTGGGGAGGGAGGGCACACTCGGGACCTAAAAACGACAAGGGGGGGAGGGATAAAATCGGGTTTGAGGATGGGAGCACAAGGACAAAGGAAGAGTGACAGCTTCATGATGATCACAATGTAGGACAACACAGACAGAAGTTCACGTGCAAGGGTGGGAGGGGCAAAGGGGCAACCACAATCCAGGAGGGGGGGGCAAACTAAAAGCTGAAGCGTTAAAGCAGAAGGATCAGGATTATTTTCTTATGAAAATAAAAAAATAACTGCAACAAACGACTATACATCCCTTCACACAAGTCCACACTGCATCAGCACACAGAATGTCATGAGCTTTAAAAGAGCTACTGCAGCACAGGGGTTCTCAACCTTTTGTAACGGCCCAAAAGCTGCTGCAGCAGATACTGACAAGCTGATCAAGTTGCCTAACCGGGTCACTCTACCTGGCTATGACTAATCCATCAGGAGTGAGGTAATTGGAGGCACCAATACCCTGGCTAGATGGGGACACACCTCAGATGAACCCTGAGGAACAGCTTCACAACTTACTGTGCTGTGACCAGGAGTATTCTGCTCCTGATCACAGCACAGTAGTCCTATTTTAACCTCGGGGTCAGCCTATGTACCCTGAAAGGTGCCTGTCTTTTTTTTTTGTAGTACAGATTGTAAAATACATTGACATCAATAGAGGGTCGAGATCTGTTTTAGCTGCTCCAGGTGAGTTTGTACCAGTTCCAATACCTGCCAGAGCCTCATTGTGGCTGAGCAGCAGACTCCCCTGGCTCTGGGGGTCGGTAGTCACGTCCATGTGGGCCGACTGTGTGGACCGAGTGTCAGCTTCCTCATCAAAGGCCTGCCAGGTAACCTCAGCTTCATTGAGGTAGCCGTTGGATGTCTCGCTGCTTATACTCTCACCTAGGCAGGGCGGGTGAATGAGGTGGATGAAGCACGTAAAAAGTGGAAGAAGTTAAATACAGAGAAGTATGAGATTAAAGGTACTGGCTGTGTAAGGACTAAACTATTAATCTATGCAAAGAGTTTGATACTTCTGTGGTTGATGTAACCGATTACTTTTTAATTTAAAAACAGTAATTCTTCATGCAGATAAATAAAAAACAGCTACACCGAAATGACAGTGCTGATCATTTCAAAGAAAACTAATTGTGGAGTAATCTCTAACTTTTCTCTCTGAGCTTGGGTCGCGGGTAGTTTGTGTGTCCCTCAGCATTGCACTCGGTTTCAGTGGGACTACTGCTCCGCCGGATGTGGATCTAGGAACACAGAGACAAATATTAAACAAGAGATGCTTGAATGGAAAAATCTAGTTTTATTAATAATACAATAATACAATCTCACCACTGGTGGCTCGCTGCTCTCTCTCCTCCCCTCAGATGTCCTGCTATCAGAGTTACAGGAAGTAGGGGAGTGCTCTCTCTTCTGGGCTGAAGTGCAACGGGGGATATTATCAGAAAGCAGAGAATTAGGTTCATTTCAAAAAGGTTTTATTGCTTTACTACCACCCTTTTTTGAGTTTAATTTAATAGGCAGAATTGGGGTATTTTTTAACATCTGGCCAATGCCAATAGAAAATGAGTTTTCAAGGCTTAGCTGGCTCATTCACAATTCTTTTTTTCAGGTTATCAATGAGCATTGTCCCCGTCAAATAAAGTAATACAACATAAATGAATAAAATTGCATCAAAATCCATTTGAAAATACACTCTAAATGCATGGTGTCCTCCATGTCCTCTCTATTGGCATGGGTGACTATTTAAGTTAGAAGTGGGGGTGCAAGATTAGTGACAGGCAAGGGGCGGTATGGCAGGAAACATTTATTTGAATTACCTTTGGGTAATGCAAATATTTCACAGTTTGTCGAGACAAATTGCAAAGCTACGCAACTAGACAGATACTCAGACCGCAGTAATGTGGTTAGCGGATCTTGCATGGTTCTCTTCCGGCTGTAAGAGAGCAGTTTTGTTTTGACCGATATCGTTTTGACTGCTCCTGAAAGCTCAGCTGTGAAGCTAGCACTAACGGGAAAGAGGATTACCTGTTATTTCGCATTAAAAATAAAAGTTGTATTCTGGGGAAAAGCTTAAAAATGCAGAATAACAAAAGCAGCGTGTGCCCTGACGTGATTCTCCCGACATTGTGAGAAAATGTCTTAGGTAAGGAGGGGAAATTTAGAATTCTGAATTCATATACTGCATATGAAACGGCAACATATAACTATGTTTGTTCAAAACTTACTCAAATGTTTTAAAAATAGCAAATATTTAAAAAGTGAGCATGCAAAAAAACACGTTAGCTCTCCAAAGTCTAACAGCAGAGGTGGAGCTGCTCCGCCTGCTCTTCTGCTCAGTCGCCTAAATCTATATCTACTATATCTACACGTGGTAAAGATATTACTAGTCACTCTAAGAAAAAGGAGCAGGCAGACATCCATACGACATGTCTAATTGTATATATAAAAACAGCTCATGTCACAGCTCACCATATATTTAAAATTGCACAATAGGCCGCAGTCTAATACTAATCCATCACCACTAACTACGGCCTACACATGCCTGATATCTGACCAAATGACAAAAAGCCGTGACAAGTATTTGTTTATGTTATTGAATTTAATTAAATTGTAAATGCTGTAGAATTAATAAAATTGCAACTCAACTGGTATATTACTTTTCCCTTCATAGAGCTAACCAATGGCTTACATGTAGCGCAACTAAATCTAATTTTAATAACAAGGGTGTTATTTCTGTCAACATCAGAGGTGAAACATGAAAGGAATGAAAATGAACTTTGTGTTTGCATGTACCTGGTAAAGTGTCAGACAGTTGTTGGGTGATGTCGGAGGTGCTGCTGCTACGTGGCAGAGGGCTATCCCCGCCTCCCAGCTCCTCCTCTCCCCCACATTCGGACAGCTGACACTCCTCCACATCTGACAGGCGGGAGAAAAAAAAAAGGTGCAAAATAGTCAGGCCAAAGCACAAACCTTCAAATGTTAACACACTGAGATATCTCATTTGTGGTCTTTAGGGAGTTGACGCAGTCATCAGAACATAGGAGAGAAGTGAGGACACGCACACATGCAGAGGTGATGCAGACATATTCTTGTTATAGACTGTATTATTACACATTGTACACATGTGCCCTAGAGATGTTTTTTCAATAAGTAAGCACAAGACCGTCACAATGGGCACTGACAGCATATAACAGACAGTGACAGACGGATGGGAAGGCAGGGCGGAGGTCACAAACACACAAACACATGTGGCTCCCGGAACACACTTTACCTGAGAGTCTCTGAGAGCAAGCAGAGTTACCAGAAGAGATACCAGGCAAGAAAGAGCTCACAGTGTGGAGCAGCATAGGAACGCTTTTAGCATTGGGCAAAGCCTCGTATAGATGAACACAGTTGCTGATGGACTGGCTTCGCTTCGCTTCCATCAGGGAAAAAGAAAGAAGAGGAGGAAGAAGAAGAAAGACAGTGGAAACAGAAAAGAGGTAAAAGGGAAGGAGACAGAATTCAATTACAGCATAACAAGTGGAGAGCGCTATGAAAGTGCTTCAATTAACAAAAAACATCCCCGATCAGGAAAGCAGAGTAAATAACACAGCAGAACCAGAGTTTGGTAAGTTAGAAGTGTTCGTTGAAAAGGATTTGAGGAAAAAATGGTGGTTCTGAGAATGAATTGGAAATAACACTTAGACCCCAAATAACAAAAAAGCTACTTTCAGATTGGAAATGACAATGGGCTAGTATTTCAGTGGAACATTTTTAAGCTCTAGCGTACTCTTGCTGGTTTCTCAAGATTACCAGAACGAGCTTTAATTACCTATTTAATCGCCTACTTATCATACTCAAATCTGACATAACTTAAAATAATCACTTTCTGTTTTAGTAATTAACCAAAAACCCTGTGCCAAGGTACACCTTCTGTGTCTTACTTTGGTTTCCTAGACGAGGGCTGGCATTGCAAATTAGCCTAGGTTGTAAATGTTGTGGTGTGTGTGGTATTGGTTTAAGCTACACACTAGTTCCTTTGCAAATACACATTAGATGATAAATGAATAGTGTATTCAGTTGTTTTGCTTGACAAAAAAATGGTGCTGATTTTGTGTTGTAACTACGATGTTAAACCAACCAGTTCAGTGGTGCGAGGGTGGCGAGCAGCATTGAGTAAAGATGCACGCTTCCATCTGAACCATAACAAAACATCCAGCCCTTTTCTCCATAATCGAGACCAAATCTCTGAACAACATTAGTTTGTATTTGCATGCAGAAGTACAGTCAAGTTTTGACAGTCGTCAATGCTGAGGCATTGACATTGTGTCTGGATAGCACTTCAGGCCTAATCTAAAAGAGAGCAACTGCAGAGGACGGTTCTATTCACACTTTAATTACGCCTTTCAGTAAGAGAGATACATCGTCTCTTCTGCTGCTGCTTCCCATTTATGCATATTAATGAGCATTAATTACACCCTTAATGAAACTATCAAAAACTGCTGTGCAATTGATGTGTGGGCCCCTCTCTTGAGGAGTGGGGAGGAGGGCTGTCGGGCCTTTGAAGATCAATGTGGGAGAAATCCAATTAGGCCAAAGAAAGGGAAGGGAATTTGAAGCGGCGGCGTTTAATGTTCATCTCTGCTTGCAAGTAGATACAAACAAACAAGACTAACTGAATAGGTGCATAAACATGCACATGAGACGCATAATAGATGCGTCAGTACACACAAACAAACACACACACACACACACACACACACACCTTCTAAGACTTAATCTTTCAGGCACAAATACATCTGCTCCTAGCTCAACAAGCTCCTCATTTTAGGACGTCGTGGGTAATTGGGGAGGCGGAAGGCCAGGAAAGTAAAAAGGCATCGTCTCTGTCTTTTATCCTCCACATTAAGATTCTGTCTAGACAAAACTTAGACAAGCAAGACTAGTTACTGTTCTACTGCCTTCCAGCTCAACTTCTAATTAGCCTGCCACATTCCCATCAGATAAGGGCTGTTTGTGGAGTCTGAAATGAGGTGATGACAATGAGTGTCCAAAGCTGGCCTTTGACATGCTGTCAGGGCTGGGGGTGGAGATTGTGCTGTATGCCTGCAATCGAGCTGACATGGAAACATGTCGACATTGGCCAGTGACATGTGAGGGGGAACAATGGGGGCCACCTGCCGGCCTCTTTGTCTTCGCTGTTGGGCCTTTCAACGACACCTGGGCCAGCGTACACATGGAGCTGTCTGAAGGCTTTCACACGCAGTCAATACGTGGGATAAAACCCTGTGGTCTGACGCTGTGCTCCGGAGGCTTATCAGCACGGTGTTGTTGGCCCACATAAAGCCAGAGGATTTATACAGTATGGACATAGAATCATACTTACGTACGGACGGTCTTCTTAAAGCCTTTGCTGCTTTGATGGTATAGCAATATACAACTAATACAACAATAATGCCATCACTAACATCACAGGTACTTACCGGAGGCCTTCTGTCGGACGTTGTTACGGGCTTTCTCGACACCAGGAGCTCCTGAAGTAGTGGCCGAGCGAATCCTCATGGGCTCCTGAACTCCTTGCACGCCCTGCTCCCCTTGGTTCCTCCAACTCAGTGAGAAGGAACGCGCCGCCACCGCCGCTGCCTTCTGAGAGTCCTGGATCACACCTGCCATGCAGAGAACAACACTTATTAGTGCTAAAAATCAACTTCATAATTAGATTTAGAACCACCACCACTCAGCATTACAGAGCGTCTCAACAAGGACAGTTGTGGTTACGGTATATTTGACCGTGACCACACACACTGCTGTAGTGGCTGTCAACATCAATGTCTGTTTGCCCATTTCCTTAAACTTGCATGTATAGTGTGGGTATTATCTAAACTAGAATGAGCTCATTGTTTAAGTACACACTTAAAGCTCCGATATCATTTGAACATTTAGGATTTTGGCGACCTGTGGTTGTATCAGAAAAGACACGCTTGCAGACAGCAGGACACACTGATGGCAGTTCTACATAAAAAGGTATTCACGGTACACTGACAAAAAAACAACATAAATCCACATATCTTCACATTCATAAGGCTGGAGAAAAGAGAATGTTCTGCTTCTTTTTATGCCAGATTGAACTAATCCATCGCTTATCAAATTGTTATAATTCAGGTAATTGACTAATCAATCAACTTTGAGGAAGAGATTATGATGTACGAATTATTTGTTGAACATCAAATGTTTTACACAAAAGTGTGTGGAAGTAAGGATAAATGCAAATTCATGTCGACTTAAATATTTAATAGCTTCACAACTGCTATTTTGTCCCACTGTAAATGAAAAATACACATCCCCTTTGGTGGTTGTTTTGAGTCACTGATCAACAGAAAGGACTTTTTGTCATATCAAAGTGAAATAAAGGTACACAACCAACCACCATATATTCAAATGCCAGAAAAAAACACGGCTAAACTCTCAAGTAACCAGACTTATCTTCCCAAAAGATAATTTCACAACTTTTTTCACCCAAATTCTAGCCATCCCGATTCCCATTTCTTCCCCTCACCACGTCCTCTCTGCTTCTTCTCCTTCTGTTCGCTGAGTTTGTCCAGAGGCAGGTTGGCCATGTCCAGGCCGTAAACGGAGCGTGCCAGCACAGCCGTCAGCGAGTCCATGATGCTGGCCCACTCTGTCACCAGCTCCTCCCAGCAGGTAAGAGAGGACAGCACTGCTAGCAGCTCGTCCCACAGCTCCCGGGAGATGAATACGCACAGGTTGGCTCGCACCCACGCCACAATGATGGTCTGAATGTGAGGCGAGACGAGGAAAGATGAATTGGCATTGTCAGACAGGCTTGCAGCTCTGATTTCAAGGCCCTGATAAGACGTGACAGCAGAATTCTCATACTGAGGCATCTAATTTGGTAGAGTGTCTCTTTGGCTTTTTGTCAACAACCAATCCATCCAAGACACACACACCGAGAACATATAGGTTCCCGAGCAACACAACATGGGGGCTACTCATCAAGAAAAATGCACAGAATTAGGTACATTTGATGTTCTGTAATTACAGTGTACTATAGTGACAGACTGCAGAGAGCAGGGATGACGATGTATCAACACTCACTCCCTTATTTTTCAAGATATAAATAAAAAACCTGTGTACCAGTTAATGTAAAACTAAGCAGCCGTAGACGTACCCGAAAAAGTACAGACGCTAAGCTTTCAGCGAAGTTGTCTTTTCTTTGGTTTTCCTGTGGCCTCTTCATCACCGCCTCCGTGATCCTCAGTAGTACCTGCAACATCTGCTCCCTGCAGAACACACAGAGAGGACATTCAAACGGTGTCGGGCCCAGATTAAAAAAAATAAATAAATAAATCAGATTCAAGGACCACGAAGGAATAACTGTTCAATGTGTATCTGAATGTCTCACTGACCATGTCTGTGTATTCATCGTGTGCTCCATGATCATGTGCCGGTAGATGCTGAGAACACCCTTGCACACCTCCACCTGGTTATCCAGGAGTTTAGCTACATCTTGGCATGGCTCCAGCATGAAAACATTGGAGGAGTTGGTCAGGAACACCTACACCGATGGGTGCATGAAGACACGGTGAGGTTGAGCAAACAGCGAGACAAAGTAGGTAAGACTGATTCTAATCATGACATGCTGTGATGTCAGGATAAAGACAGACCTGTAGTGTGGGCTGGATACCAGCCTTGACATCCCTGTTCTGCCCCTCGGTGAGAAAGCCCCGACTGATGGCGCTGCTGAACGAGTAAGTCCTCCCCCAGCTGGATGAACGTCTGTGGCCGGGACTCTCTACCGCCTGGTAGAAGAAAAGGCAGGCCAGTCAGCAGATTAAAGTTAAGATATTAAGTAAGACAGATACTAAAGAGCTTGAGTGTTTACGGTTAAACAGCCTATGGTCATAACTTGATTATCTATACTGTTTTGAGACCTCCATGGTATGGTTGATGCAGCTAATGACGTCATGTGTTGTTTTTTTTGTAGGAGTGGTAACTTTTCCTGCTCCTAAACTAAAACTGTACTTACTCTTTTTACCAGTTTTCTTCGCTACATTTGGCATTCATACCTCTAGTAACTAGTCTGTTATCTGCTATGCATTGTGCTACACTGTCACAGCTGTCATCCAAGCTGTGTGCTTGCGGTCACGCAGGAGAACTTTAACTGGTCTTCCTTGCAGCAAAAAGAGACATGCGCTTGTGCCAGATATTAATAAATTGGGCGAATGCAAAAATTAAGAAAATCAGGCAAATACCTTTTCAATTTAAAGTTTGATTGTTTAACTGATGTAAACTTCACACTCTGCCCCTGGTGGCCAATTAGCTTTATTAACAGAAAGCTGTTCTTGGCTTTCACTTTGCGAGCTACAAGTTGTTATTTATTCAGGAAATAATGTGAAGATACAACGGTTCTGTTAGGCTTCATGCATGAAGCACAGGTCTCCCTATATATAGGCTCACCGTACTTCATTCACCAATGGGCTGCTCCCTTGTAATAGCCACAATAATTCTTCACATTGTCAAGATTAGGATCATATATGCTTTCGGAATAACCATATTGTGTTGAGCGCCTGTGCTATTGAACGAGGCAAATCATATGCAGCGGCCTTCATTTTAACAAGTGGTTTAACATCAAGATAAGAACAGATGGAGGCAACAGTACTAGGCTGGGCAGCTAAGAAGTACGATATTTAGAAGTGATCTTATTGATACCTTTATGTAGATGTTAAAAGTAAAACAATTGTATTAAACAGAAATGGCTAAATTAGAGATAATCAATGAGTAAAACAAAGTGCATCCACTAGCGTTAACCATGTTGCACAGCTGACACTTACTATTCCAAAAAGAGACTTGATACCCAAGACTCTTTATGACTAAAGACTTGGCTTGGACTTTCATAAAATAACTTGTGAAGATCTCTGACCTGCATGCAGTACCCAATATTAAACACAAATATTAATATATTTTTACTTGAGTAGGTTTGTCAAATGGTAATTTTTACTTTTACTTCAGGATTTCTTAAGGGAATAACTGTACTTATACTTGAGTAAAGATGTCCAGTACTCACCACTGTGTAAAGGTGAGTATGTCAATCACAAACAATTTAATAATTAAATGCATCCAAAATATATTCCAAACTGCTAAAAAAAGTTAGCAAATTAGCTGTTTTAGTTTAAATTGGAGCAACTAAAATGTGTTCTTTTGCCATCTGTAATATTTTTTTGCTGATCAGAGATTTCCTCTCACATATTATTTAACATCCAAACTATGCTTCTCAATAGCAGCGCACATAACAGGTCTTCTTTAAAGAAATGTCTTAGCCACCCTTTTACTAAATAACAACAAATGACAAGAGTTGTATCTATGTATGCTATACTGACATGTATTTTAATTGGCTGTCTGTATCTGAGGTTTTACCTGTACGTGGATGCTGTTAATCTCTGTGCTGAGTGTCTGTTCAGAGCGGTCATCGACCTCATCTTCCGGGGCGGCTTTCTCAGGCTCTGTCATAAAGCCGGGCTTGTCCAGCAGGATCCACTTCCTGTACACTTTGATCACCTTCCTGGTTGCTGATGCCTCGCAAGACGGCAGCAGGAAGGCCTAAGGAGGGAGAACAAGGGCATGTGAATGGGTTTAAAAAGCAGCCTCGTCATGGGAGGCATCTTTAAGTTATGTTAACAAATGGCCAGCAGAGGGCAACATAGTACGTGATATCACAGAGTCACCATCTAGTCGGCATTCTAAACTACACCTGCAATGTAATCTATTTTTACATCAAATAAAGACGTATTGCTTTGTGACCCCACTGTACCTGGTGGAAGACCTCATTGACAAAATTCACATTGTCTCTGGTGGAGAGCAGGATGGCATGCACCATGTCATAGACATGGCGGTGCTCCTCCTCAATGCTACACAAACTGGAATCGCTGTGCCGCCGATCGGACAGCGTGCTGCTGTTGGAATGGCTCTTCTCCGGCTCCCCCGCTGCCCCGTTCGTATCCCCATCTGATGCCTTCTCCTTCTCCTTCTCCTGGCTGCTACTGCCTGCAGTGACAGTCTGGGCACCACAGAGACACGGTGAAACATGCTGCAGGGCTAGGGCTGCCTCTGCACAGTTAAATAATTGGGCCCTAGAGTCTCATTGACTGGAAGTTCCTAAGTCGTGATTTATGGTCATTTTTATGGGGAATGAGCCACTGTGCTGGTCATTACTGTAAAATGATTCTCACCTCCGTGCAATCATAATAATGTAAATGTTGCATTTAATTCCCCTCCGTCTCTCCCCGTGATTACTGTGACTCTAGGGAGTCTTCATACAGATACTGCTCAGAGGTTTTGCTGCAACAGCCCGCCTCCTCCATCCTCAGTGACAGCATGAGGAATCAACAGAATGGTACTTCTCCCGCTCACCTGGATGAGTTTGGGAATGACCTCGGTGCCGTTCTTGGCGCTCTGCGCCGCAGCAGCACTGCTGACGTACTTCTTCTCCAGGAAGAAGGTGACCAGCCAGGTGATGAAGGCCACACGGGGTGCCAGGTACTGGTCCCTGGTGCAGAAGGTGCTCTCATTGTTTCGCGTCACTGGCACATACAAGGGTTTTGGTCTGTGGTGGGGGAGGTCTAATTGAGCAATATAAGCGGGGATGAAGAGTGAACGATGGTGACAGAGGGAGGGTTAAAAAAAAAGAAAGAAAGGAAGGACAATAGGAGAAGAGCGAGACAAAAAAGACAAAGGGAGAGAGATTAAACGTCAACACCAGATGTCTGGCTGTGAAGGTTTTTCCAGTTTCCAGCTGCATCAAAACTTGTTCAATCGACTATAAAGTCTGTGGCACAAAACAAGCAGAATAGTATTTATTATATAAATATAATAATGTGGATATACCTCTGGAAATGAACAAGCGGCATGTTATTTGTCTATACTGCTCACTTGTTATACCTTTCCGTTTTTCAGGTTTAGAATCATGTTTTGGAGTCACAACAGCACACAACATTTGTTTGTTTGGTTTAATAAAATTGTTATTGTAATTTTTTAACACCCACGATTGAATTACTAACTGAAAAGCCTCCGCTCAGCACTCGAATTCAAGGAGCCGAGGGGTTCAACTTGGGGTTTCATAACATTGTTGTATATATACTATAAACACAGTATGTCAGCTTACCCAATAAAGGCTTGTAGACATTTGTAAGCTTGGTGAAGGAGGGGAATAGGTGTGGAAGGTAGTACTTCTTGAACAGGCTGAAGAGAAACCTAAAGCCTGTATCCTGGTTCTCTTTGTTGCGCCATTCTAAACTGGATGCCTGGCAAACAGAGCACAAAGGCAGACAAGGTCAGAATTCAGGGAGAGGAGATGGTTCCAGCATCGCACACAAAGCGACAGCATATTGTTTGCAACACAATACTTTGACGGTTCCTCTAACAAACGGAGCACCATTGAAATGGCAAAATGGATCGGGGTTAGGTTCACATGAAACGAACACACTTAAACTTAACTCGCTTAACTACTGATATTGTATTTAATTTGTCATCTCACAAGACAGGGATAACAAACTACCTGAGCACTCACATCAACACCATGCCCGTGAAAACACACACACACACACACACACACACACACACACACACACACACACA